TCATCTCACCCCAGCAACAGCAGCAAAGTTCAACAGGGCAGCAAACAACAAATGCTGGTCAAATTGTGGAGAGACTGGAACTTTTCTTCACTGCTGGTAGGAATTTAAAGCCACTATGGAACTGCCTAGGGTGTACAAAGAATTTTATCTAGGCTACTCTCCTCCATCCTCTCCCTCAGTACAACTGTAAGTAACACCCCCAAAGCCCTTCTATTTGTAACTCACAAGTTTGTTCTCTCTAGGTTTGTTCCCTTTCCTATAGGTAACCTTAACACTGAGTTCTACTCCAGACCTGACCCTGAATCCAGTTCCAGAGACAAAAAGGAAATACAACAGCCAGCCAAGGAAGCAAAGGAGGATGGAGCCTCAGGGTTCAGTCAGCCATCCACACCGGACCCACCTGGGAAAACACTTTGCAGTCCAGAGGGGATTAAATGCCAGGAAAATATCTTCTAACTGAACAAGAAGGCAAGCACCTTTAACTCAAGACCACCAGTAAGGTGATCAAGTGTGCTCCCTTTCTCTCTTCACATCAATACCCCTGTTCAGCATGAAGAAGCCAGAGAGTCTGCGTCCAATTCCCAAATGAGAAACCCAAAAGTGAATAAGACAGTTTGTTTAATCACCATTGGACTATGCTTTGCCCTGTATCATCTGGTTCCCTCCCACTGGATCCTTTTTATTTCCTTCACCTGCTCCCCTCACCAGCCAAATTGTGCATCCCTGCAATTTTTCATCTCTGCCCACCCTCACCCCAACATGTTTTTCCCAATAAAAAACAAAACAAAACAAAACAAAACAAACAAACAAAAACCCCACTATGGAAAGCAGTCTGGTGCTTTCTCAAACAGTTGGAACTAGAAATTACACTACTGGGAATAGACCTTAAGGATTCCAGAGCTATGACTCAAACAGATGTATGCACAACCATGTTGATTGCTGCATTACTCACAAAAGCAAAGAGATGGAAGCAACCCAAGTGTCCATCAACAAATGAACAGATAGAGAAACTATGGTACATCCACACAATGGAATACTACACAGCACTCAAAAAACCCAATCAACTCATAAAATATTGCACAACATGCCTGGAAGACATTATGCTGAATGAAACAGCTCAGTCACAAAAAGACCAATACTGCTTAACACCACTGTTACAAAATAGCTGACATGGGGCACTGGGGGGAGAACAGGAAAAGAGAAGATAGATAAGGAACACTGCATTGGAACAGATGAGTGGAAGAACTATCTGAAAGGAATGCATGATTAGGCATTATATGTATGAAAAGATCCGGAACAAAAGGAACGTTACAAAGTGGACTGGGTGGAAGGGAAGAAGGGAAAAGGGGAGGAGAGGGATATGTGCAAGAATCAATGAATGGAAACCGAACTTTTCTGTAAACCTTCATTAAAGTCACAATTTTTAAAAAAGGGGGAAAAAAACCCCAACCAACAGAAAACCCAAAAGGCAGCTCAGAAAGACAAAACAAAATACTGTAACAGAAAATGCTGAGAACTAGAATTGGAGACTAAAAATGGAAGAACTTAGGTCAGCATTTATCAAGATGATAGAACTGAAAAAACAAATTCATGGGCAAAATCGTCAATGATGCAGGAAACATCAAAAGAAGATGGAGGGAATATACTGAATCACCGTACTAAAAAGAATTGGCTGACACTGAAATATTTCAGGAAGTACTGTATGATCAAGAGCCAATAGTAATAAAGGAAGAATGTTATGTTGCACTAACAGCACTGGCAAAAAATAAGGCCCCTGGAATCGATAGGCTACCAATTGACATGTTTCAAATGACGGATGCAGCTCTGGACGTGCTCACTAGTCTGCCAGAAAATATGGCTGGCTGGCTTGAAGAGACCCATACTTGTTCCCATTCCCAAGAAAGGTGATCCAATAGATTGTAAATGAGTTGGTTCTGACAAGATGACACATAACAATTTTATCTTACAAGTAAATTTTCTTTACTTCTTTAATTATCTTACTGGGAGCCCCGGTGGCCTAGTAGGTAGAAAAGGTTTGTTAAGAAAACACAAGATTAGAGGAAAGCATTAACTATTAATAATGAGTGTACAATATAGTTGGGTTTTGGTTGTGTGTATGTGTGTGTATTTAAAACTTGTAAGTTGTACTTATTGGTGATAGCAAAGAGGCAAGTCTACAGCGGGTATTCAAAAACAGTAAAACTGAGTAAGTACCCTTAGGAAAGGGCATCAGTCAGGAAACTGGTATTCCTAGAGCAATGTTTGAGCTTCTGCTCAGCTATAGCTTACAGAGGAAAAGAAGAGAACCATATTCTATACTAACGAAGAATTAAATAGTATCTACTCTGCACAAGAAGGTAACTTGCTTACTAAATCTTGGTAAAATTATATTGTATAATGACTGTTTGTTCAAATTAAAACTAAAAAAATAGAGTAAAGATAAAAATAGAAATCATCTTTTAATTGTCATCTCCTCTTCAAAGAAAAAAAATTTTATTTATGAACCACAGGTGACTAATTCAGCTTCCAAGGCACTACATTTTATGTAGTACTCAAAACAGTCTCAATCTGTCAGCTCAGGTTCATTTCTACAACCAAAGAAATACAGCTCATCCATCAACATTAATGAATGTGGAAAAAATTCCATTCAGAATGAAACTTTTCCTCTTGGCTATTCAATAAGACTAACACTTTAAAGAACCACCTTTTAAAAACACTTGAGTGAAATTCCTGAGAATGAACCACAGACAGTACAACCTGAGAAAACATCGTGTAAATAGGTTATTACTGCTCAGGTATGATGATCTACATATATGCAGAGCCATATTTGTGACCAAATTTGGAACGTTAATACATTATATTCTCCTTCATGTTATAAACTAAAACAAGACAAATTTCACTTTTAAACCTCAGTTACTTAAATTTTTCTTCATAAAGTGTTACTGTTGTTTAATATATAGCAACTGAAAATTTTAAATAATGAGAAACAAATGGAGTAAAAAACCTCAAAAAACAACCCCCTCAGGATTTGAACATAATTATTTTACTAAAGTTTAAGATATACATTTCATCACTACATTGTCATTGAGGGGCTGGGAGTAATGAAATAAAAATGTACTTCTTGATACCTCAATTCTCAGATGCGTGCTTCCTTCAACTTTGCCAAAAACTCTCAGTAATTGCACAAGGTGTTAAAAGTATTAGGAAATCTCATCTCTGGGGGACAAAGTGTTAATATCTGTTTGGGTTGGAGTTGAAAACATGTAAGTGTAATTCAAACAAGGAGGTTGATGTTTTAGCATTTCTTTGTAATCTGAAATTATGGAACACTAATTTTTTTTTAAGTTCTTATTTATATTTTTCTGTGTTAGCTGAAATTTTAATTCAATTCCAAAATATAAAGATAAAAGCAGATTAAGCTAGGTTAATCTGTTTGTGGAACTTGCAAAGCATTTACCAAAATGAATAATAACTTGATTTTCTTTAAAAGATATCCAGAAAAATCTACTCGTATAATTATATTTATTATCACTATAGGTGTAAAACGGGAAAAAATGCATCTAATTCAAAGGCTAAAGTCAAAGTACTTGGTCAAAATTTAATATAATAAAAACCAGTCTTAGTATCACTTAAGTTATTCATCTAACAGATTTTTATTTTGTGTTTGAAAGAACAGTATACATACAGTAACACAGAGTCGTGTGTTATGTGCCATCAAGTCTCTTGACACTCATAGCGACCCTATGTACAACAGCCCTGAACCCTGTTCTATCCTGTGCCAACCTTATTATCTCTGACACCCAACAACCACTAACCCAGTCACTGAATCAATCCACCTCATTGAGGGTCTTCCTCTCTTGCGCTGTCCCTCCACCATCCCAGCATGACGTCCCTCTCTAAAGGCTGATCCCTCCTTGTAACATGTCCAAAGTATGTCAGACAAAGCCTTGCCTCCAAGGAGCAGCCTGGTCTCATCCACCTTACAACGAACCTGTTTGTTCTCCTAGCAGTCCATGGTATATTCAGTACTCTTCTCCAGCACCACAGCTCAAAGGCATCAATTGTCCTTCTACCATCCCTAGTCACTGTCCAGCTCTCTGATGCATACAGTATAACACAGAGTACACAAGCAAAATATAAACTTACAGTATTGTATCTTTAAAACTCAGAAGCTCTGTAAATGGAATGACACATTTCTGGAGAGGCATACCTGGAGAAAAAGCAAACCAGGCAAGGAAGCTACAGAAAAATCGCTACCTTCACCTTATGTTCCTTACAAGGCATCCCTGAAAACAAAAGGCCTGTAGAACGTAATCTTTCTCTCTCATTTAATTTTTGTTTGTTTGTTTTTTGGAAGTGTGAATATGGGAGAATTCTCATTAAGTGAAGTAAAGGTAGTATGTAACTTTGTACCACTTCCTCTGCTGAAAGGCATTTGACTATTTACCAAGTAGAGTGCTAGCTCTTTGATAGCTTTCACAATCTCTCCCAGTGTGGCCTTGAGTGTCCCCCCTTAGAGAAACTACTTAACTGTGCTACAACTGGTGCACCTCTGGCTTCCCTCACAACCAAACCAAAATCTTACTCAACTCTTAAAACCTACCTACTCCAGAAAGGCATTTCTAACATTCTTTCCTGGATTCACGCCTTATGCATCCACATGTTCAGCAGCCCAGTTTTGAACTTACTTGTGCTCTAAATGATGAGATTGTGAACTAATTTAGAATAAGGACCATGGCTTATATTACCTTTTATCTCCTCGTACAGTGTAGAAACAGTTGAAAATGAACTGGTAAATAGAAAAGGCAGGCCACAGATTGGATGATTTGTCCAGATTCTTAAAGAAAATTACTTCAAGAATGAAAACATTTCTAGAAATCCAAATATTATCAAATTATGCAATACCCTTAACGGCACAGAGATTTCTATAAGTGTAACTCTTGGTTGAATTTGTATAAACATCTCACTGCAAAGGAAAGTAAATGTTAGTAAGGCCATACCATTGGAAGTTGCAAGAATCTCCTTGTCTTTGGGGATACAGGCATGCCCAGCATGACAGATAATCCAAACTGGAAAACGTCTGTTTATCAAAGAGTACAGAGTCTTTGCAAATGGTAGATAAAAGGCAGCAAAACTTGGGTTACCTAAAAAAGAAATACAGATTTTAGATTAAAAAGGTGACATATAGACATTTCTTCTAGTATATTCTGTTACATAAATATAGTAAATTAACAGACATCAATTTTAGTGTCCTTTCTACCTTAAATCTGGTTTAGAAAAATCTCTGCTGCTTTCTCCAGTTTCAAGTTCTTTCTCCCTATCTCTCAACTCACTAAATGGGACCACCAAGACAAAACTCATTGCTCAAGTAAAAAACACTGGGTGTCGGTTTCTCCTTGTCACTCACATACTATCCATCAATAAATCTATCAATTTAGTTCCAAAATATATCTCAAATATGTTTGTCTCTCTTTTATCACATAACTTCCTAGGAAGTTTTTTACGTTTGTTTTAATATTATACATTGTGCTTTTAGTTACATCATATTTTGTTCATTTTTATTGTGGGGGTCTTCGCCCCCTTACAATAACTACTCTTATGAAAGCATGTAAGCCAACTACTTCATGTCTCATGCCCTAATATCCCCCTTTTAGTTAACCAATTTCTGATTTGTCTGTTCCAGTCAAACCAGTACTCAGAGGGAACAAGCATGCCCTTTTGCTGAAAAATCCTCTGTTCAACTTGGAAACTTTGAGCACTTACATCCACAAGCAAAGACCTGACCGGAGCAAGCCATCAGGTTGCAGCAATCAACCCTAGCTCCCAGCATGGATCATCATCTCTTCATCTGGTTGGGTCAACTCATTCCCAGCCATCCGTGGCTAGGTTCAAATGGGCATCGGCTGTGAGCTCAGGAGACCCTTCTCCCTGCATTCCAGACTTATTGGTCTCCTCACTCAGCACCAACTTCTTCATGTTGCCAAGTCAAGTGAACAAGCCAAGGGTCCTCTTGACTCCCTGCTCCTCAAGTCGACAACCCTGTCCTGCTCATCCACACATCTGTGGATGACAGGAGGGCAGCCTGTTTCAAGCTCAGTCTTATTCGCCATTGTTATATTTCTCCCACTTCCACTCCTGTGGATCCAAGTCATCTCTCTGAGTAAAAATGCTCCAATCTCGAGTCTTGGAAGTGAGCACTGATGGGCATCAACTTTACCTAGCTCAGAAGTCAAACAGCTTGTTCCCATTTTAAAAAACACAGTCTCTTCCTTTCCTTTTTTCTTTCTCCTTTTCTCCTTTCCTGCCTGCCCTTCTTTCGAGTATGAATTTCTTCAATAAGAAGTCCAACGTGGGTCCACAGATCCATTCAAATGCAAATCTCCTTAAAGTACTGGCTGGGACACAATTTTCCCTTTCAACAAAGTTCTAACACCCACTAACAGATTCTACATTTAACAAGTTTATTTCCAGGATAGATGTTCCCTTTTACTACTTTAAATTAAGTACTGGCTAAAGGTGGAATTATATGCTTTTTAAATCTACACTTTCCCGTGTTCATTTTGTTGTACATTTCCCCCCCCCCCATTCTCTACTATGTAAAAATTTATTTCAATTCAACCACCTTGACACACTGCACTTTAATAAGGACGTTTCTTGAAACAGTCTCCTACTAGGTCTCCTCCTACCCCTTCTTTTATTTAACAGTTTATTGAAGTATAGTTCATATACCATATAATCTTGTGATATAAAAGGGACAAATTAATTAATTTCTGGAATATTGAGGGTATTTTTGTCACTTCAGAAAAGAAGCAACATACTCATAAAAAACACTTCAAACTCACTTCTGCTGAGGGGTTCTGACCAGGCGCAGCCCTCTATGGGGTTTCCAAGACTAAATCACAGTGGTAGAAGATTCCTCCTTTTTCTCTCTAGGAGCAGCTGGTGGATCCAAATCACCAGAGATACAGCCTTTTGCTAGCAGTGCAACATCCTATGGCCTACACCATATGAGCTCCCACCATACCCATCAACATTCAAAGCCCTCTGCATTTCATTACAGTTTCTTTCTCTCCTAGGCCCTGGAAACCACTAATCTTTTTTTTTTTTCTTTCTCCTCTATGTATTTGTCTAAGGATAGAGCAGGGTTTAGGGTTGTTGTACATAGGGTCGCTATGAGTCGCAAACGACTCGATGGCACATAACAACAACAACATGCGTCATCAGTAGCTTCAAGGTCAAAGGTGAGAAATCTCCTCCAGTGTGATTTATAGCCTCTGAACACCCACAGAAAGGTCAGCTATGACTCCGTTCCATGACTTGATGGCAATGAGTCTGGGTGGTTGCCTTTGTTTTTAATCCATTTTTTTTGTTGTTGTTGTTGTTTCAGAATAATTGCTTTCAGGATTTAGCCCACTCATTGCAATCCTACAAACCAACGATTGGAAGAATACACTATCTTGTTCCATCCTCAAAATTTCCATGCTCAAGCCTATATTATTGTGCTGTGTTAGTACATCTTGTCAAAGGTTTTTTTGTTTGTTTGTTTTTTATTCTGACCCTCTATTATTCCCAGTATATTTTTTTTTCCTTCAAGGAGTGGCCTCTCCCCAAAACATACCCAAATTATGTGAGATGAAGTTTCACCATCCTTACCTCTAAGAAGCACCTTGGTTTCACTTCCTCCAAGAAAGATTTGTTTGCTTTTATGGCAGTACATGGACATATGCAATATTCTTCTCCAATATCACAATTCAAAGGAATCAATTCTTCTTCCATCTCTCTATTCACTGTTCAACTTTCATACGCAAACTAAGCGATTTGAAAAGACTGCCTTGGATCAGGTATATTTTAGCCTTTAAATTGTCATCTTTGCTCTTTAGCATTTTAAAAAGGTTCTTCACAGCAGCTTAGCCCAACACAACACATCTTTTAATTTCTTGATTGCTGCTGCCATTGGTGCTGATTATAGATCCAAGTAAAATTAAATGGCTGACAACTTCAACTTTTTTCTCCAATTATGATGTTGCCCATTAGTCCAATGGTAAGAATTTTTGTTTTCTTGATGTCAAGAAGTACTGCATATTGAATGAATTCTGTAATCTTGTCTTCAGTAAGCGCTTCAAGTCTCCTTCAAGAAAGTTTGAATCTATTAGCTACTCTGTGGGATAAAGATGAGGTGCAACACTCCTGTTAAGATTTACTGCCTCAGAAATTGAACAGGGGATCATCTGAGTAGGAATCAACTTGGTAATACTGGTTATTTGGTTTTGTTTTTGGAGATGCTGTAAATCACATGAGACTGTCCATCTTTCTCTCACTGAGCCATTAGAGGGTTCAAACAGTGAGAGAGGTGCTGCTCTTTGGGTTAGTATAGCAACTCTTCTACACCACGAAAGCTCCCCATACATACATACATACATGTGGTTGTTAAGTGCCATTAAGTCACTTGCAACTCATAGAGACCCTATGTACAGTAGCCCTGAAACCTGCTCTATCCTGTGCCAACCTACTGTTTTAATACATCTCATTATCCCAGTCACTAAATCAATCCATGTCATCAAGGGTCTTCCTCTTTAATGCTGTCCCTTTACTCTCCATAGCATGATGTCCTCTCCAAGGATGGGTCCTTCCTTGCAATATATTCAAAGCACATCAGATGAAGTTTCAAAATCGTTGCCTCAAAGGAGCAGCCTGGTCTCATCCTCTCTAGGATGAACCTGTTTGTTCTCTTAGCAGTCCATGGTATATTCAATACTCTTCTCCAGCACCACAGCTCAAAGGTATCAATTCTCTTTCTATCATCCCTAGTCACTGACCAGCTTTCTGACATATAGCAAGTAATTGCAAGGACTATGCCCTGGATCAGGTGCACCTGAGTCTCCTGACTGATATTGTTGCTCTTCACTACTCTGGAGAGGTCCCTGACAGCTGACTTTCCAAATGAAATTCGGCTTATGACTCCCTGGCTGCTGGTACCAAGAATGCTGATTGTGGAGCCAAGCAAACAAAAGCTGTTAACAATCTCAGTCTCTTCACCAACCATCATAATATTACCAATTGGTCCAGTGGTGAGAATCTTTACTTTCTTGATGTTGAGCTTCAATTCATACTGAAGGCTGCATTCCTTGACCTTTTGCAGGAAGTGCTGCAGGTCCTCCCCAGTTTCAACAAGCAAGGTTGTGTCATCTTCATAATGCAGTTTGTTGATGAGTCTTTCCTGATGCCACACTTCTCCTCTAACAGCCCAAGCCTCCTTGATAATCTGTTCTGCATATAGACTGAAAAGGTATGGAGATTGGGTACATCCCTGGTGTACATCCTTCCTGATTTTGAACCATGCAGTATTTCCTTGCTTTATTCTGATGACTGCCTCCTGGTCCAAGTATAGGTTTCACATAAACACAATCAAGTGTTCTGGGATTTCCATTCTTCTAAGAGTCGGCCACAGTTTGTTGTGATCCACACAGTCAAATACTATATATTATAAATGCACTCTATATAGATACAGATACACACACACACACGATATATATTATATGTTTAATAGGGACCTTTTTTGGCTTAGTGGTAAGGATCTGTGCTGCCAACCCAAAGGTATATGGTTTAAATCCACTATGTGCTTCACGGGGGGAAAAAATGAACAATCTCCTTCTATATGATTTACAGCCTCTGAAAACCCACCGGAGAGTCAGCTATTTAGTTCCAACTCAACAGTCCACAACATAATAACAAAGTTATTAATACTGGCTGCTATTAATGATTTAAGTGACTTTTCTCCTTCTGTAAGATTTCCTATATCTAGTACAGTCTCTATAATTTATTTGTAATGATGTTTGTAAAACTAGAAATAATGAAATGTCCATCAAAATGTCTCCTTATTCTTATTTTCATACTTACCCGTAATAATTAAAATAAGCACCTTAGGCTTGCAAGCACTTTGATCATTGAAGAGGTCAGTCCAGGGCCCACATTTTAAAAGCTGAGTTTCGATTCCACCACATGAAACAAATTCCTCCTGCACAGGGATTTCATCCATGACTTTTGTGTCCATTTCT